AGCCAACTTATTTTTTACATTGCTCTCCACTGTATCAGCACCAGAATTTGTTTCAAGGTTTTGATGCTCTATTACGTAATTGTCCTGAGAAGATAACAAATATAACTTTATGGATAATTCAATATATAATCAAGCAACTCTTCTGTATAACTTTTATATAGAAAAAAAATGTTATACAATCCTTATTTACCGATATCTATACTATATTCCATACATTCTTGGTCATCCATACTTCTTCTACCCAGTTGACGTTGAGTCGATGGGAATTGCTGGGGAATTGACCAAAGAGACCAAAGGTGTAATGCAACTACCATCGATATTATGGGAATCATTTCACGTTCTAATGATTTTAGTTCTATTTTCCCTAATTCCTATTGTATCGCACGTAATATCGTTGGAAAAAATTTTTTCCCATGCATCGGTAGATTTCTGTTTTTAGTGTCTCTCGTAGATATCGCAATAAAAAGTAGAACTAATTCCGCAATCAAAACATTATCCGTTCCCCAATTTGCCAATACCTAATTATACAGGTACATGGGGCTTACATAGAAAAAGAACTACGTAATTATGTAAACATATAAAAAAAGAACACTCGTAATGTTCAAATGTTGCTGTAGATAATTAAAAAAATTATACATACGCGTAATTATTTAAATTATAAAATTATAGTCGTTTAATAATAGAAAAATTGCAATCATGGTAATTACAAGCATTAATAATAGGTGAAAACGTTCTCAAATCGCGAACAGAGTGCAAATAAAAAAATTGTGTCGATAATTACATCATTCAACATCTGTGCTACTTTTTTACATTTAAATTGAGCGTTAAAAAATTGTAACTAATAATCCTAATTATTTTTTATAGTAGAGTGATGGGATATACCAACAAATATTTTTATACATGCGGCAGCAAAGCAGCCACGCAGATACTAGATCTATTTTCTTGCAAATTAGTAAATATTTGGTTTGATATTTTCTTACCCCCAGCTGCTATTACACTTGTACCTTAAAATCTAAAATTTAATGGGAGTCGAGCTGCCTGATGGTAGCGCGTTAAATTCGTTGGGAAAATAATTTATTGACGAATGATGATTTTTAAGATGTGTAATCAAATATTATAGTTCCCAATCTTCTACCATTGTCATCATAACACCTACTAAATTTAAAGGAAATCAGCGGACCTTCCTATCAACAAAGATAATTAATTATCGTTACCTGCCACCGAAAACGTAGCTAATTTAACATGTTCTTGTACCTCTACTTGGTGTTAATTGCAGTTTCAAAATAACCATCGTCGCACCTGCTAAGTGCTAAGAATGAACCAGTAGCCAACAACTCCTTGTGTAGAATATTAATAACTTTCGTGTAGTTACTTGTGATTATTACTACAAAATCGCAGTTATTTTTATTTTTTTATTTTATTTTAATTTTATTATGTTAGTAGGCATAACCTTTACACTTGTCAGTAGTTACAGATATAGAGTATATAAAACAGTTACAATTTCAATTTCAATACACTTAACATGAATGAAAGCACAAACATTATAAATAAATAATTAACAGACAAAGCAACTTCTATAAATCCCCAAAGCCATTTTCAATGAATTCGCCTATATTATAAAAACATTTACTAATGAGGTACGTTTTCAAGACTAACTTAAATTTTCTATATTGTAATGTCCGTATATGATCAGGAATTATATTAAAAAATTTTATACAATAATAGTTACATCCGGATAGCGTTCTGTTTAGTCTGATGGGGTTTAGGCATATATCATCTCTATTACGTGTATAGTGGTTATGTACAGATTGGTGTGTTTTAAATGAATTTAGATTTCTTTTAATATACAACAAACATTCAAGTAACGATAGAGAAGAAAGGATAAGTATATTGAGTGAGACAAAATAACCATTACATTTCTCCCTGCGACCAATCCCTGCAACTAGTCTAATCACTCTTCTTTGCAGTTTGAAGATTCTGGTAGATATACTAGAATGCCCCCAAACGAGAATTCCATATGTGATGTGGGGTTGTAGTAGTGTTAAGTAGGCAACTCTGAGAATGTGCTTTGGTAATTTATTCGACAACTGCCGTATCAAAAATGTGCCAGAATTGATTATTTTTGCAATTGCATCATCATGTGCGTTCCAAGTTAATTGGCTATCAATATTTAAGCCTAAACATTTGGTGGTTGGTTGGGTGTGCCATAAAGAAGGTTTACATAGGGAGAATATTATTTCAACTGTTTTGACTGAGTTTAAACATAGCCGATTAGCATTAAACCACCGACTAGCCATAGCTTCTGCTACTAGGCTGTTACGTTTACCAGTTGCCAAGCACTTGTGGCTCACAGAAAAGCACGTGTCGTCTGCAAATAGTGTAATAGAACTAACACGAGCCATATATTTGCATAGGTCATTAACATATATTAAAAAAAGCAAAGGGCCTAATACAGACCCTTGCGGAACTCCATGAATTACGGGTAGTACGTTCGACTTACTGCCGTCTACAGTAACATATTGAGTTCTATCTGTTAGATAAGAGGCAAGTAACTGGCAACTGGTTGTTCCAAAATTATAGTGACGAAGCTTATCAAGTAGAATACTATGAGAAACACAGTCAAATGCTTTCTGGAGATCTAAAAAAGTTGCAATATTGCCTTCTCTATTTTCAAAACTGCGTGATATATTATTTGCAAAAGAAATGACTGCATCAATGGTTGACTTTTTTTTTCTAAAACCAAACTGTTGTTCAGAAAACAAATTGTTTCCTTCAAAGTATGCACTAATTTGGTTTGATAGAACTTTCTCATAGATTTTTGCCACTGCAGGGACAATAGAAATAGGCCGATAATTATTTAGATCGGTTAGATCACCCTTTTTCAATATGGGCACGATTGATGCAATTTTTAAAGATCTCGGAAATATACTTTCTTTGATACAAGAATTTAAAATTTTTGTAAAAGGTATAATAATATAATTCTTTATAGTTTTTATAATTTCAAAACTCAACCCATAGCAGTCTTTGCTTTTATTTGTTTTCATATTATCAATGATGATACGAACATCGCTATATGATACCTCCTTAAAAGAGAATGAGACGGCAATGGGCATATCAATCCCAGCCATTAACTTGATGGGGTTAATATTTGTGTTGGATAGCTTGTGAATAATATTTTCGGCGACACTAGTGAAATAAATGTTCAAAGAATTAGGTTCGATGGGACATTTCGGTGATAGAAACTTTTTCCTGTTTTGATTTATCAAATTCCACATAGTTTTCGATTTGGTTTTTGAATTAGAAATATACTTATCAAAGGCGTCCGTCTTTGATTTGTGTAATTCAGTTTTGTACATGGCTTTGTATTTGCGTAATTGGAGTTTTGTAAAAACAGTAGGTTTTTGCTTACATGCATCAGAAAGAAAGCTACAGTTTCTCGCATTTTTTCTAATTGTGGAGTGAACCAACGGACATAATGTACTTTTGAATCTTTACCTGTATATTTCTTTTCCTGGAAGGAACTATTCACATAGTCAGAGATTTTATTGATGAACATTTGAAATTTTGTGCTCGAATCTATAGATTTATCCGAAACATATCTCCAGCTTTCTTCACTGACCACATTGCAAAGCATTACTTTTCCATATTCCGTTATAGGACGGTAAATTTTTTTAACAATTACATCCCTAAAACGAGTATTCGGGTTTAAATTAAAAGAAAGACCTAGGTGATCAGATAGGTTTGTGTCAACCGTAGAAATCTTGTTTACATCAGTCATATTCGTGAAGACATTGTCCAAAGTATTAGCTTTCCTAGTAGGTGCACTGACTAATTTAGCAAAGCCAAAACTTTGAAGTAAATCGCAAATATATAGACAGTTTTTATCAGGCGAATTAAATTTGAACCTGTTATAACTACATTTATGTTACAAATATCAGGAAAAGATAATAAGTTAATTAATCTGTCTCTAAACACATCAAAATTACCATTTGGTGACCTATACACTGTGACAATTGTCAGATTGTACTTAACAATAAATACACTACAAAATTCACAATTATAAGTTCATCAGAAAGTTTATCAATTTTGTTTACATTACCAGTTGCGGTTCCATGTTTATTACAAATTAGATAAAGGGAGAAAGATTCCGTGAATGAGGGAGAGAATTAACTCATTACTTTCACGTACAGGGTCGCTAAAAAAGGTGGAACCAAATCTTGAATTTGTTACGTAGTAACATAAGTCATGTGATAGTCATTATAGAAAGATTATTTTTTTATCTTCCTTATTAGGTACATTAAACGCGAGATTAAACGTGTATGGTGTTAAATTAGAAAATAGTGCAGAAAAATTAAAACAAACCTTGCCATAAGCGTGTATATTGTACTTTATATTTAGATACCTTTCAATTAACAAAACATCAAAAATAAACAATGAAACATTGAGCAAGTGTTCAATCAGTGACACTGTACATATGGTTAGTTTCCTTACAACTATTTTATTACGTGACTAGTGAGAAATAAACCTTAATTTTGTGAAATATGAACAGAGTTTTTTATCTATTATTTTCTAATTTAGCACCATTCATGATTAAGGTATTCAAAAAATAATTTCTAATGATATATCACTATGTTGCCATTTAAAAACATTCAAGATGGCGGTCTATTTCTTTAATCTTTAGTATAGAGCTTTCTATCAGCAAGCGTTTTATACAGTCCTCTTGCGATTTTATATTTCTGTTCGCTATGTACTAATAAGGGCGCCATACGCCCATACCCAGCCTTGAAAAATGTTACCTTTATTACATTCTATACACTTTTTGAGGAAATGGGAAATGTGGTTTCTACCAAAACTTTTGAATGTGGATAAACTTCTAAGAGATGCCGAAATCCAGCTGGTAATCCACTGATGCAAATAATTCAAGGTATTTTCAAAATGTTCTTTTGGCTGGCACAGATACCGCCCGCACGATGCAATAATTTAGTGTAGTGTAGTGGCAGTTCATGGAAATTGTGTGTTCCAAAACACCAACGTTCCCGGGTGTTGAAAGAATGCCATGATCAACCAACCGCAGGACATTTAGGAGTGGCAAAAACAATTTCCAGGGTGTTCCAAAATTATTACTGGCCTAGAAGCACACAGGATGTAATTAAATACGTTAAAAATTGTAAAAATTGTTTACAATACAAGAGCACCACCCAGAAACCTATGGGAGAAATGCACTTTTCAAGAGTAAATCAACCATGGGAGATAGTTAGTATTGACTTTATAGGACCACTTCCCCGCTCCAGTAAAGGAAACTGTTATGCAATTGTATTTCAGGATAGGTTCACCAAGTGGGTAGAGATAAAAGCAATACGCAAGGCTACCAGCGCTGTTTTAATTAAAACATTCCAGGAAAATATTATTTGTAGATTTGGAACTCCGAGAAAGGTAGTTTCAGATAATGGATCTCAGTTTATTAGCCGCACATTTAAAACCACTCTACGGGAATGGGGTATCCAGCACCAGTTAACTCCACCATACACTCCCCAGGCCAATCCAGTAGAGAGGGCAAATAAAGTAATTGGTATGATGATTGCACAAAACACCAATGCAGTACCAAGAAACTGGGACCAACATCTACCAGAAATAGCTTTCGCTATTAATAGTGTTAAGCACGATTCTACACAATACACTCCAGCATTTTTGAATTTTGGCAGGGAAATGTTACCCACCAACACTCTCATAAGGGAAGTTCAACCGGAGGCAGATGGGGAAATGGTGCAACCACAAGAGTATGGAACAAAACTAGACAAATTAGAGGAATTCCGACAACTCGCAAGAGAAGCTCTTGCACAGGCATTTGAAACTCAGAAAAAATATTATAACCTCCGTAGAAGGCCATATCAACCCCGGGTGGGAGAACAAGTTTATTGTCGAATGCATATATTGTCTGATAAAGGTAAGGGAATTTCCAGCAAGTTATCCCCAAAATTTTCAGGGCCACATGAAATAACACGAATTATATCTCCTGTGATAGTGGAAATCAAAACAGGGGACAGGAGGTCACAAAAGAAGAATGTCCACGTAAAGGATATAAAGCCAGTTGACCTCCAGGATGAGATTGAAATCCAGTCTAAAGACGAGGAAAGAAGCGGCCGCATTAGGGATGAGTCGGGCAGAGGACACCAAGGTACCGGCTTCCGAAGGAGGGGTGATATGTAAGGAATCCAACTATGATACTTTTTATAATCATTTTAGGAAGCAATGATGAAAACTATTTTCCTGAAGTTCCGTGAGATGTCGCCACCTACCTTTCCGATCGTATCAAATACCACTTCCCGTTAATCCCTTCCCGATTACCATTTCCAAATATTCCCCAAACGTAACCGGCCGTTGAATATAAAAGCGAGTGTCCCGTCTGTGAGAGAACTAATTGAGATCACCTTCCTATAGCTCAAAACCTTCTACCAGAACCACCCTCCAGATCTCCTGCTCTCCCTGAAGCTTAGGCCGGTGCTTTGTACCAAAGGCCTAAATTTCGAACCCTGTTATCTCTTACCTGATCCAGAAGCTTAGGCCGGTGCTTTGCACCTACGGTCTAACTCCCGATAACTACTTCCCGAAGCTCACGGCTGGTACTGTGTACCTGGTCAACTTTCACACCTGTTATTCTAAACCTTCCCCGAACTCTTGGTAACTTAGGGCGGTACTTTGTACCTAAGTCCTGAAAACCATCCTGTTTAATAATAATCCACATCCAGATACTTTTGTTGAGTTAATTAAAGAACCCCTTTTCATTTTATTACGTCCAGTCAATTTTGTTTAGAACCCGTTTCATTTTTTTTTTGGAATTCTGTCTAGGTAGAATTCCCCCATAGTATTACATTAAATAATAATCAACAAGGTCACTCACCTATTGTTTAAACAATCACTTAATTACTCTGAATTTATTTGTGTTAATTATACTTCCGATTGTTAAAGGAATATAACAAACCTAAGAGGAAACACACCGTGTCCAGCATCCACTGGAAGTGTCGCACTGACCGTTCCACTTCAGTCCGAGCCAGTGACGTGCGGAGGCAGTCCACAGAGGCGTGCTTTTGTGTACATTATTTTAATTTTATTTTGTTTTATTATTGGAAACAATATATGTATTAAGCGATCTCCGCTTTCAACTGGTTTTACTACCGAACCCTGCTGCGAATTGAGCTACCCGAACCAGCACTTGTGAACTCTCAATTTTCCACCCCGATTCCAGTAGCCGTGGAAAATTGGGAGCGTTATATGGCGCCCGAGCAGGGCATAATATAGGAAAAAATCAAAAGTGACAGTTTCTTGTTATTTTGACACACTTGCGCATGCGCGATTCTGTACTAAATTTGGTTCCAATCAGTTCAGCTGTTTAACCGGAAATGAAAGTGAAGACAGACGGACAGACAGACCAATATCATCGAGATTTTGTTTGATTTGGATTCCTGGTGCTACCAAACGTAGGTATGTAGTTCCGTAAAAAAAGTGGGGGTTATTTTCCCCCCCAGTACGTAGTAACTAACGTGCGGGTTGTAAAAACAACGAAACTTATTAAAAATTATAAATATTATAATACTAGTAACTAAAGAGACTGTTAAAACTTTAGTCCAACCTTTTATTTTTTAGAACTTAATATTAAGTAGGTAGAGAAACTGAAAGATAATGCACTTTCCAAATCATAGGAAGACGTACCTACCTATACACGTATGTAGACCCCTACCACAGACCCTGACTTTTAACTTTTATTGAAACAACGGTCGATCACTCAAACCTTTACTTTTTCTACAGCAACAGATATTAATATGAGTGATGCTACCAATAGTTTTGTCTACTTTCTTGTTGTCCAGCAGTTGTCCACATTCTAAACACATCGTTAAATAGCTAAACTTTTCCCAGTCTCCGGAGGCATATAGGTACCCTATTTAGACTCCTGAGGCATGCCTCATTTAACCATTTAAGATTTATTTAAATTAGTATTCCCACCGTGCTACTGAAAAGTTTACCGGACCGTCTGCATTTATTAGCTATAAGGAGTTTGTTGGTGTAAGAAATTGCCATATTTTTGATTGTTCATTGAAGTTTATGAGGAGTAAGGTAGAAGCTAGAAGGAAACGTGGCCACCATGTAATTAGAATTTAAATTTCTACTACTAGTCATAGGTAAACGTAACATATATACGTTACACTAACCAAGGTCTCATATGTGAAGACTCAGAAATAGCTTTCTAAGGAATTTGCGTTATTTGGTGTCCCTCAACGTTTTTTTCCACGTAACGGTTATTCGGTACCTGAATTTTTTATACATGAGCATTATTAGTGCTCATCACACAAAATCTCCTATTTTTTCGTTGTTAGGAGTATTTTTATGCGGTTAATTTAAAAAACGATTTTGTTAAATCTCCAAATTACTTACTTAACTTACCATACGCCTTTGCGAATTACTTCAACAAAATATTTGTTTCTTTGAAGATGTGTTCTTAGGACAAACATTTGGTAGGTATATAATCCAAATAAATAACGCGTTTAAATGAAGAATATTGTCTGATAGTCGCAATAACTAGTGATACTTATTTAAAAGGCGTAATTCATTGAATTGATAAAATTCTCTTTGAAGCAATGAAAAAAGTTTAACACGAAAATTTTTGATTGAATTCAACAAAATTTTTTTTAGCGCGTATAAGAAACAATGAATTTTATAGATAACTAAAGAAACGGAATCTTAGAAACGGTTCAAAATACATATCAGTGTTATAAAGCGTCATTAAATATATTGTCCAAAAAAATAAAAATTTCATGATATTTCATGGTTCCATAATAGAACTTTTAGGTAATGAAAATATGTGACGGATGTTTTTGGACGCGTTTATGTACTTGTATAGTAAAAAATTATCAAAGTCCTCGTTTGAGATCGAAGGGACTTCAGCGCATTTTTGTGTGGCAGATCAGTATTCTATTAGCCACTTTCGACTCAACCATCAATAACAGATCTTGTCGAAGGCTACTACATTCACTAACCGCTTCCCACTTTCCTCGTGCACCCGCAATTCGCTTTTAAAGATTTGACTCCACCATCAGTAAGATCGTGTCGCGGGCTACCACATTCCCTTTTACGGTACCCACTTCCGACGTCCCGTTCACTCGCAATTCACTTCTATTGGCGACACGAGAAAGAGAGACAGCGATTCGAGATTCACGAAACGTTAAACCGCGTGAGTTCGCAACGGAAGGTAAAAGGCGCCTGACTACTTCTCGAAGACGCGCGCGCGCGCCTCGCAAAAGGTCGTTAATTTCGCCCCTATGACAAAAAACAAAATTCCGCCACGCAGGAGTTGTGCGCGTTTACAACATCTTTCCGACGACACCAATTTCAAAAGAATCGGACCAAAACTGTAGTAGAAGATAGGAAAAAACTGAAAAACCTTCACGTTAGTATACTACGCTCGAGGATGACGCCCAGATGTCGCCAACCCCACATCATGTAGCCATGTCCCTAAGGTTGACAAATTTCACGGCCCTGTAGATACACGTACACCCGTTGCCTTTCTACAAGAGTTCTTCTACGCGCCCACATTTGCTGCCTGCCAGCCAGCCAGCCAGCCAGCCAGCCAAAGTGAGATTAAAAGCTACTTTTTACAAATAAATTTGCAAAAATGCGCTAAAAACGCACATCCAAAAACAACGTGCATTACCACTGCCTACAGACACCCACAATTTCGTAGTATTTTGAGCGATTTATAAGGAAGTGACTTAGCATTCGCAGCAGTGGTGATTGTTGTTGTTCCAATGGAAAGTCAACAAAATAATTCAATAAATTCCTGCAGGAATTCGCCGGACAGTGTTCTACAGAATTTCAAAAAAAAAGAAATAAGCTGATCTGATCATCTACTATTATACGTTACTGATATGCGACGCAGAATTTACATCCGCACCTTGAAACTTTTTGTACCTACGCACGCACAAAATTTCTGTCCTCGAGTTGATTGAAAACGTAATATAACGTTTTGTGCATACACATTAACGTTTTTGTATGTACGTTTTTGAGGGCAGGTAGGTATACATAAAAGCGTACAAGAACGCCCGTCTGTAGGGCCCTTCATTCATCTAATAAAAAATCAACTCTATCCAAATCAGTTTTATCGTAATTTACTGTGTGTTTAATGTATAAGTAATGCATTGTTCCCTAAATCTTCCATTGTAATATGCCTTTCAATTATTTCTGATTCCTTCAAATGCTATACCTATATCTATTAGTTGTCACTGACGAAGGCTATAATGTTATGCACTATGCACTTGCTAATATAACATATGCAAATGGATTTTAAAAACAGCCAGACTACATTCCTGCTATTATAGTTTAATATATCTAGTAAAGTTGGTAACAGATTACTTTAAAATATATAGTTTACCATTTTCTAAATTACTGTTATGCCAACAAGGCAGTACTGCAAAAATGACAAAAAATGAAAAATAGACTTTGAATTAACTTTAATTAATTCTATTACACAACCTTGAAGGTCGCCTGTTGTGACAAATCCAATCCAAACAAGCAATAATTATAAACGAGGAAACCAAACAAAATATTTTTCTACTTTGTCGGCCTTCCCCAACAGTCCGTAGCAAAAGGTCTTTATTTATAAAAAAAGCGTGCGATGATAATCTCTAGCGGTAAACATGGAGCATTTTTTTTATTATTAAACTGTTTACACGACGAACGCGCTGTCCTCAGAGTTAACGCGTATCTACGAGTAAACGTGTCCTTTACCTGCCATAATTGAAAGGATATAGGAAATTAAAAAATGCGGCATGAATTCATATATAGCGGCGAGATCATATCATGCGAATACACATAAAATATAAAACATGTTCATATATGCATAATACGCAGTGTTCTGTTTCCGATAGCTGCATATTAATATGTATGTGCTAACCGATTATAGACATTGATAAACACATGCTCTTTATATTCCGCATCCTACTGCATGGACGGCACGGGCTACCCTTGTTATAATGTTGCTAATGGGCCCGCTTTTATTGGATCCACCTCATTAACGTGCAAATTTTTCGCAAATTCGATTATAGTGAGGAATTTATGACTTTATTAACGGCACAAGACTAGTAGATATTTTTAAAGGAAATGGGCAATGAAAGTCCACAGATTGTTACAAAATTGGGCATTTTCAATTATTGCACCAAATGTATAGTAGCTCAACTATACATGCTCTTGTACGGCAAATTTAAGTTTCTCTTTCGGCTGTCAATTTTCAGAATCATTTTGCATAACACGAGGTAGGTAAACTTGTATAATTACGTGCAGTAATTACACGACGCACTAAATTTCTTCATATACTTGCAGCTACAGAAAATATTCTCACATACCTATAAGAACGAAAAAGCTCAAATGTGAAACTTAGGTAGTGCACTAAATAACGTAGGTGCAGGGGACATACATGACCTGATATTGTATATATACGGTGCAAGAGGATACTTCCGCTTGTTAGGACGATTTCATAGGTTCACATTTTAAAAGATTTAATTGTCAAGTTTCAAGATCAGTTCAAGCTTTACCATTCACGCGTTTTAAGACATCTACTTCATAATTTATGGTTTGAAATTGAAACTTCATTTTTAAATTTCAACACTTCATCTGCAAGATTCGAGTTTCGCTTGAAGATCGAAAGCTCAGTTAAAAACCGTAAGATTTAATGTCTTTCTGAACGTTTAAAGTTATACAAAATGCCAACGTCGAGATTGAATATTTAAAATTTAAGCTTTGGATTCAAGGTTCATGTCGTTCATGATAGGAGCACGAACATCCTAGTTTATAAGCAGAATGCGTCAACATTCAAATTGCAAGATTGAAGCTTAAAGGAGTTAGAGGCACGTTTCAAGGTTCAAGATTTGATCTTCAAGAGTTGAGCCTGGGGGTTCTACAGTTTCAAGATTTATACAAAAAATAATAATTGTTTAACTCTGTGTTATAGCTTGCAATTCTCACAAATGTTTGAACGGAACTAAATGTGAAATGACACACAATTTAGAAATAGTGCGGGGGTTATAGGTTTGAACCTTGCATTTTGTGATAACTTTATGAAACTTTCAGGGTATGTTCTCATAATTTATGGTTTGAAATTGAAACTTCCATTTTTAAATTTCAACACTTCATCTGCAAGATTCGAGTTTCGCTTGAAGATCGAAAGCTCAGTTAAAAACCGTAAGATTTAATGTCTTTCTGAACGTTTAAAGTTACAAAATGCCAACGTC